TGAGGGCTCGGAGCTGTCTGGGATGTGTATGGCTAGATGAACCCCCATCCGCAAGCAGGAAGCACCTTTGTTCATTTCTCCCTCAAATATGTAAGCGATCACACAGCATGCACATTGTCAATATCCGCTTCTGCACCCATGACAGGGATCACTAGCCAATCCTAGCACTTTCTCCTTCCGAGTCCAGAAGTAGCCTCACACTTTTTCTCATGTACTGGTCCAGGTCATCACTACTAACTGATCAGAGTTGAGAGATGAAATGAGAATCTATTTACCTTCCTTGGCTGGATTTCAGACATGCATAAGATCTAAAGAAACTCCCAGAAGAGAACTCATTCAAAGGGAAGACAGAGTCAGATGGACAGTCTTATGACAAGGGCCGTTTTAAGCCAGGCTGATGATTTGCTCTGGTCCAGCTCCCTGGTAGATTCAAGTCTGGGTCTGAAAGAAAGCAGGTCACAGGAAGCCCACCATCCCAGGCTCCACTTCCTCTGTCCAAACCTACAGATCAGCTCCATTCCCTGGCACTTGAACTCTGCTGCAAGCCCCTAGCATGCCTGGCCAGGTAGCCCCGGCACGCTTGCTCAGCCCACACACTGCTGTTTAACCTTCCACAGGCATTGGGTTCTCCCTGTCTTCCCCCCAGGAAGACCGTGAGTGCCCGCTGTGGGGCCAGGGGAGGATGGGGCCGGATGAGCCCCTGCCTCCCCGGTATGCGCACACATGCAGAGTCAGGCCTTATTCAAGGAGCTTGGACCCTGGGCCCTGTCTCAGTCTGCTACCAAGAGCTGTGTGGCAGTATATAGGACTAGGATATAAAGCATCGTGTGTCCATCAGGATTCTGTTGCAGAGAACAGAATCTGCTCTGACTGGTTTCAGTGAAAGGGATTTATCACAGAGTATAAAATGGCTACACGACTACTGGCAGGGCCGAAGACAGGCTTGAGGTGGAGCTTTCAGGAACAGCTCTCAAAGTCACACTGCAGAACTGGGCCACCAAGGGAGCTGCTGCCTCTTTGGCAACCATGAGGTCACTAGCCCCAGAACCACACTGCAGTGTGATCAGGAGGCTGCCACTGCTGCCAGCTCCACACTGCACCTGCTGGGGTCCAGGCTAGGAGACAGACACACTGTGTCTCTCCTCTTGACCCCCTCTGCCAGTACTGCAGTAAAACAACAACAACAACAACAACAACACACCCCTTCTTATTCCCAGAAAGCAGCTGGCGCTGCAGAAGCACAGCCTTCCAAATCTCATGCATGTGCATCTGATTGGCTAAACCCAAATTATATCCCGATCCTAACGGCAGGCAAGGAGACTGGGAAACATAGTTTTTTGACTTTTCCTGTCTCTGCAGGCCAGGAAGGCACAAAGCAGCGGGTGGAATGATGTTGAAAGTCGGTCCCCCATACTGACCACACACTGTCTTTTAACCTTCTGAAAGATGCCGGGCACAGCAGCTGTGTTTTGGATGTTCTCAGAGAGGAACAGAAAGGGAGTAAGAGGCCTTCTCCGCTTTTTACCACACACCACTATACAGCTTTGAGGCACCTCGAAGGCTCAGGCACATCAGTGGTGCCATTTGTGTGTGGTCTTTGGGGAGTGTGATACCAGGTCATTGGAGCAGGTCATTGTACTAGGCAGAGAGCCTCCTAGGCCTGTCCAGGAATAGTTGGTGGGACTTTGTCAGCAGCTGGGACCAGCAAATATTGGTTATTAGGGTCTGAGTGGTTTTATCTAACTCCTGGCTGGATCCATCTTTGGAAACGCTATCATGAGTGCGTCCTATGGGCCAGGCACTGCTCTGGGTGTTGGGGGACAGAAAAGGATGAAATAGAGGCCTGGCTGCTCTTTGTAGCTCCCTGTCTAACAAGGAAGAGGTGTGGGCCTATGCAGCCAAGGGTGTGAAAAGGTGAACAGGGAACTTTCCAGGGTGGAAGACATTTGAGCTGGGTCCCGAAAGGTCCGAGGATGCTTAGAGGAGGTCTGTGTGAGAGACAAGGTGAAGATGAGAAATGCTCTACAATCTCAGTGAGCCGGGCAAGGAGGGATCTAGGGGGTGGGGGTGGGGGTGGGGAAGAGACAGTGTTTGGGAAACCAAAGCCGGGATTTCTGAAGATCCAAGATTCAGTCTCCCCATCCAGACCAGGCTGGATGCTCCTGTTCTGGGCACCTACATCTGGCCGGTCGTGCAGTTTGTCCCAGGCTCTCTGCACGCCGTGGGATGGGGTTTGCTGCCTTGGCTCACGCAGACTGCTGGGAATGACTCATGGCTGAGGAGGGGCTTGGGAGAGCCACGAACTGCTGCCCAGGCTGGAGGCTATGGGGAGGCCTCTCCCTAGGGCTGGTGGCAGCAAAAGAAACTAGCCCATGTGGGAAGGGCAGCCCATGTCACCCTGCCCTGGGCCTCCAGGCTACAGGGCCAGGTTGCCAGAGGGAGTCTCTGGCACCCCAGCCCCCACTGTCCCCTCCCATCCCAGGTCCCAACATCCCCTCCCACCCCAGGCCCCACTGTCTCCTCCTACCCCAGTCCCAGAATCCCCCTCCTACCCCAGTCCCAGAATCCCCCTCCTACCCCAGTCCCAGCATCCACCTCCTACCCCAGGCCCCACCATCTCCTCCTACCCCAGGTCCCAGGGTCCCCTCCTACCTCAGGCCCCTCCCTTGTACTCTGCTTCCTCCCCATGGCAGGGCTGCCCATTCCCTCCCTGCATCCCACTCCATCCTAATGCCAGCCCTCCTTGGCTCAGGCGACTGGGAATACCCGTGGTGGGTCATTACAGGACACCGTTGCCTGAGGGTCAGAATGGAGGAGGCCTAGCTGTCAGCTGGAACCCATCAGAGGCCAATCTAAGTCCTGGCAGCAGTCAGGACAGGAAGGGCTGGCTGATGAGAAAGGTGTTCCTGAGAACTGCAGTTTCCAAGCCCTCTTTTAACCCTTCCCACTCTGACTTGAGGGTGTGTCCTGACATTTTCCAGTGGTGACAGGTGGCTGCAGGTCTCTGGTTCATCAACCCAGGTTGGTGAGGTGAGGTTGATTTCATGGAGAAACCACGCCCCTGACTCAGGGAGCCCCTAATCAGAGAGAGGAAAAACAGCTTCCTGTTTGCAGGAAGACCCTAGTCATAGGGAAGATGCAGCTCAGACCTAGGCTGAGGGGAGACACAGCCCTGACTCAGGGAACCCCAGTCTGAGGGGAAGACACAGCCCTGACTCAGGGAACCCCAGTCTGAGGAGACACAGCCCTGACTCAGGAACCCCAGTCTGAGGGAGACAGAGCCCTGACTCCAGGCCCCAGTCACAGAGGAGACACAGCCCTGACTCAGGAGCCCCAGTCTGGGAGACGAGCCCTGACTCAGGAGCCCAGTCTGAGGAGACACAGCCTGACTCCAGGGAACCCCAGTCTGAGGGAGACAGAGCCCTGACTCCAGGGAGCCCCAGTCTGAGGAGACAGAGCCTGACTCAGGGGCCCCAGTCTGAGGAGACACAGCCTGACTCAGGAACCCCAGTCTGAGACACAGCCCTGACTCAGGGAGCCCCAGTCTGAGGAGGCAGGCCCATCCTCAGGGGCCCCAGTCTGAGGGAGACAGAGCCCTGGCTGGGAACTGGTCTGAGGAGACAGAGCCCCATCCTCAGGAACCCCAGTCTGAGGAGACAGAGCCCTGACTCAGGGAACCCCAGTCTGAGGAGACAGAGCCTGACTCAGGGAACCCCAGTCTGAGGGGAGACAGAGCCCTGACTCAGGGAACCCCAGTCTGAGGGAGACACAGCCCTGACTCAGGGAACCCCAGTCTGAGAGGAGATACTGCCCCGTCCTCAGGGAGGCCCCAGTCTGAGGAGACACAGCTCTGTCCCAGGATCCCCCTCAGAGAGGGAGATACAGCCCACTGCTTACAAGTAGCACAGGGTCAGAGATGTACAGGAGGTTTTGTCTGATTATTAAACTGATAAATCAATATCATGGCATTACTTTTGAATTTCCATGTGCACTTGTGGGGAACCAGCAGCTTGAACACACATTCCTTGCTCTTAAGCTCCAGGAATCATGTGGCTGCAGATGGAGAAGGAAAACTCTTCTTAGGGGATGGTTTTGTCTAGTTGCCCTCTTGAGGTCAGCGTCTGAGGGGAGACAGAGCCCTGACTCAGGGAACCCCAGTCTGAGGGAGACACAGCCCTGACTCAGGGAACCCCAGTCTGAGAGGAGATACTGCCCCGTCCTCAGGGAGCCCCAGTCTGAGGGGAGACACAGCTCTGTCCCCCGGGATCCCCCTCAGAGAGGGAGATACAGCCCTGCTTACAAGTAGCACAGGGTCAGAGATGTGGGAGGTTTTGTCTGATTATTAAACTGATAAATCAATATCATGGCATTACTTTTGAATTTCCATGTGCACTTGTGGGGAACCAGCAGCTTGAACACACATTCCTTGCTCTTAAGCTCCAGGAATCATGTGGCTGCAGATGGAGAGAGCTCTTCTTAGGGGATGGTTTTGTCCTGGTTGCCCTCTTGGGGTCAGCTGCCTGCTTTTCTGAGACCCCTCCCCACCTCACAAACCACTCAGCAAGTGGGTAATTTTCAACAGCTTGTTCCAACTCCTTCTTTGGTATCCCCATAACTTATATAACTCCCAGCTTTCAATTAACAATTAAACTTGGTGAGCAAGAACACAAAAGGAAACATGTCTATGTGCAACTGGCCCTTCTTCAACTGTGTGGTTTAGATGTCTCTGATTTATTTTCCACAATTAGTGGCTGGCCTTCTCCCAACCTCTCTCCCTGTTCTCTTTGAAGGAGCTGCTGCTGCCTGGGCACAGCAGCCTAGCAAAGCTGTCTGAGGGCACCCTTTTCTCTGGGACTAAGATTACCAAAGAGCTCAGGCCTCTTGGTTCCTGGGATACACAGGGCTGATTATCAAGCTTTCCATGGGGGAGGAGGGGGCTCATGCCCACCTACAGGGTGAGGAGGAAAGGCCCAGAAATGCTGGCACCTTTGCAAGCCTTTTCTGTGCTCTTCATCTTCAAGCAAGTCATTCTAACTCCAGTGCCTCAACTTCCTCATCTGTTAAATGGGAGTGAACAATTGGGTTAGGTGGTTCCTAGAGCCCCTTGCACTCAGACTTTGAGAGTTATTCCTGCTTCCCTCCCCACCCTGCTCAGCGCTTTCCTGACACCCTGTCATGACCACAGAGGGTGAGTTAATCACTGACCTTGTCCAGTAGCCAACTTGGTCACCAAGTGTGCTACCAGACAGCCTCATGCTGCTGGCCAAAGGGTTGCTGCCCCATCTTTTCCAGCCTTAGCCTGGCACTCCGATGCATGAGGACATTTATGGATATGCAGGTGAGCCATTTGGTCACATTTCCTGGGACCCCTCTGAGCCAGCCACTGGGCCTTGCCCTTAAGAGACTCCCAGGACAGTGAGATGACTGCACAGGAAGCTTGAGAAATGAGTGCTGAAGCCAACAAATATTTACTGAGCACCTGCTCCAAGCCAGGCCCTGGGCTGGGCAGGGGACAGCAAAACTGAATAAGCAGACATGGTGCATTTCTCATGATAGAGGCACATACGGGTTCCAAAGTCAGCTGATCAGGTTCAAGCCCTGGTCTGATGCTACTTTGGGCAAGGTAGTTAGCCTTTCTACACCTTGATTTTTCTCTCTGGAAAACGGGGATGCTAATAGTACACAACCATGGGGTTGTAGTAAGGATTAAATGAGTCAGTGTTCCGAGTGCAGGACATGGTCATTGCAACTTTCATTTTGTGATCACCAACTCTGTGCCAGAAAGTGTCATGGCATTTGATGTAAACCACGTCCCTTACGGAGAAGGAGAGAGCACTTCTGGCTGAGCTGAGAGAGAGGCTTCATGGAAGAGCTGGTACCACAGTTTGGTCTTGAAAGATGGAGTTCAATTCCACAGGTGGTAATGGGGGAGGGCGTTTCAGGAGGGGGAACAGCATGGACAAAGGCATCGAGGCAGGAATACAAAAATTGTGCTGGGGGAACTCCAAAAGGACCAGTGAGACTAAAAGGCAAGGGAGATAAAACGGGAAAGTAGGCTTAGGCCAGATGAACATCTAGACCACAGAATGTGGCCTTTATCCTGTAGGCGAAGGGGAGCCATGATGGTTGCTGAGCGAGGGGATCCCGAAGGGATATGAAACTGCTGTATTTAAATGAGGCAGCAGAGTTAGTTTCCTTAGATGATAATAACAACAAGAATGATAATCAGAAACATTTCATTTTGTAGATTCTAAAGTTCGCTGAGTGTTTTCATGGCCACAACCTCATCTGATCATTATGGCAACCCTGTGGGGTGAGTTGAGCAGGGATTATTGCACCCACTTTACAGAGAGGAGGATGGGGCATATCCAAGGTTACACAGCAGGTTGATGGCAAAGTCAGAAGCTAACATGGGTCTCCTGGCCAGCATCAGCATGGATGGCCCAGTGTGAGTGAGGGGCATGGGTCCCCATCTCACGGCTGCCCAGGGGAAATGGACCACCTTCTCAAGCCCCATCCTTAAGCTTGAAAATGTGTCTGTGTGTGGAGGGATGTCTGTGCAGGGAGCCTTCCAGTCATGCCAGCGCCAAATCTTCTGTACTTCTGGCCCATTGCCAGGGGCCAGCATGCACTAGGCCAGCACACATCTAACCTCTGCTGATTGGTACCGAGAACATTGGTGATTTGAGCAGGGGGCTGGCTGAGCCACTGCCAAGAGGCTGGTGAACTGCTGCAGGAGTTTGGGGAAGACATACACATAGCCCTATCCTTTTAGTGAGTCCTTCACCTCTGTAGAAGCCTCTCCCAGCTGAGCAGCAGCCAAGGCAGATGGAGGGAAGCCTCCCGTTCACCTTCTCTTCTGCTGGGACTGTTCCCTGACCCCCCTGGGTTCCTGCCCCAGGACTGGGAGTCTGGCTTCTGATGGCCCAATCTTAACTCTTTCCTCTCCTTGGATTCTGCCTGCTGGCTGATATGCTTCCACACTGGGGCCTTCCTCCTCTGATGTTCATTTCCAGGTCCTGGTCCCCAGCAGGGCCTGGGGTAAGAAAGGAAACAGTAGAACCCCTGCTCCCCAAGCCTGCTCCACCCCGAGTTCTCAGCAGAGCCAGGCTGGCCTATCTTTCTAGAGGACCCAGCACAGGGCCTGCCTCAAAGTGCAGCCCAGGTAGCACCTGCTGGTTCTGTCTGCCAGGGCCCCAGCCTTCATGGGAGGCCAAGGGTGGGTGGTATCCTGGATTAGAGCTGAGCCTTCCTTGAAGTGGTAGGGCTTGGTTAGGGGAGGGGGTCTATACAGGAGATTCTTTCCAGAGGGTGGGGAGCCAGCCTTACTGTGCCATGTGAAGCAGTAGGTTGAGGGGCATGAGCAGAGGGGTGTGGGCATGCTTGCCTCAGGCCAGCCCTGGAAGGTGTGCAAAATGGCCCTAGGTAGTGATGGGCTGTTGACTGATTGATCGATTCATTCATTCAAGTTTATCCAGCACCTCCTCTGTGCCAGGTGCTGTGCTTGGGGCTAGGAGCTTAATGATGAGTAAGACAGATGTATCCCTTCCCTCCTGAGCTCCTAGTTGAGATGGGAAGGGTGAGGAGCAAACAGACTGTTTCAACACACTGTGATCAGTGCCAGGACAGAAGAGATGCAATGTCCCCGAGAGCAGAGAGGAGGCTTCAGCTTGAGACCCGGGGGTGGATGTAGGAAGACTTTCCAGGAGAGGTGGAGCTGAGATCTTCAGGATGATGAGTGAGCTGGGAGTGGGGATGAGCATCCCAGAACTGGGAGGGGGGTGGCATTCCTTTCAATGGGTGAGGATCATGACATGGAGCAGCAGGGAAGAGGAGGCGAGGTGCAATGGCAGATCTTGCGTGTTGTGCTGCATTAAGGAATTATCCGGAGGGCACTGGGAAACCTTTGAAAGGTTTTAAGCAAGGGCTGGATGGGATCCGATTTGTGTTTTGGAAAAAATCTCTTTGGCTCAGGTAGAGAACAGGTTGGAGGGCACCTGAGCTGTCCAGGCTCAGTTCCAAGACAAGGAAGAGCCCCTCCCAGATGCAAGCCCTGTGAGGACAGCATGGTGATCCTCTTGCTGTTACCCTACTGAGTCCTGTAAAGGGTGCTGCCCAAGTCCCCTTAAGGGAGGCCACCCGGGTCCGGATGATGGCTGGTCTTCTTGCCCATAGGGTCCCTTCCTTTGGCTGGGACATAGCCATTGTGAGGGTGGCTCAGCTCTCTGACACCAACAGGGAGAAGTGGGGCTCCCCCTGCCAGGACTGCATGTTGAGGGGTGGGTGGAGATCATTTTGGAGAGGGCTGGAGAAAGCCAGTTCTCAAAGAGGGAGCTGGTTCAGCTCGATCTACTAATGTCTGCCCCTCCTGCCCCCACCACATGCACACAGGCAATTCATTTGGCCTTTAAGACTAAAATGCCAGTAGTTTCCATTGCTTTGGGTGGGGGATGTGGGGAGGGAGACAGTCTGCCCTGCACTAAACTCAGCCCGTGGAGGAGGGCAGATGGGATACCTGGGATGTGGTAGAAATGAATGTCATGGGCTGGGCGTGGTGGCTCATACCTGTAATCCCAGCACTTTGGGAGGCCGAGGCAGGTGGATCACCTGAGGTCGGGAGTTCAAGACCAGCCTGGCCAACATGGCAAAACCATGTCTCTACAAAAATACAAAAATTAGCCGAGCATGATGGCAGGTCCCTGTAATCCCAGCTACTCAGGAGGCTGAGGTGGGAGAATCGCTTGAACCTGGGAGGCGGAGGTTGCAGTGAGCCGAGATCTCACCATTGCACTCCAGCCTGGGTGACAGAGCAAGACTCCATCTCAAAAAATAAAATAAAATAAAATAAAGAAAGAAATGAATGTCATAGTTGAGGGGACAGGTTGTGGGGGCTGGACTTCCAAGGCTTCCTGGCCTGGGAAGGAAGCAGGGGGTGTTGTGGAACCTGGAGTTTTGGGGTCAAATTCTGGCACCTGAGCTTCTCCAAAAGCCACCTGTGTGGGCTGGGGGTGAAATGCCAGGGTTATGGGGAAGGTTCCCCACCCCCTCCCTGCAAGAAGAGAGGAATGGGAGGGCAGGGGAGGGCTGTTTGGCCAGGACCCCAGTTCAGCCAGCTCTGGGAACCCTGCCCAAGGTGCCTGAGACCATGCTGGGCTGGAGGCTGGCCTGGCCAGAGGCGGGCCTGCGAGGGGGCAGGAGCAGTACCCACTTCATTCACAGTCCTGGCCCCTGCACAGTGGCCCACAGCACCACCCCCTACTCTTGGGCTCCCTGCCCAGTCCTAGGCTTCTGCCTACCCCTTGGCAGCTACCAGCCATGCCATTCTCCCAGAAGGACTCTTTCCTAGGCTGGTCCTACCCCCTCTGAGGGATAAGTGTGTTTCTGAGAGTATGTGTGTCTGAGTGTGCCTCAGGATGTGAGTGTATATACATGTGTGGGTGTGTGAGGGGGTGAATGTATGTGTGTAGGAGTGTTGGAGTGTGTCTGCGTGTATGTGTGTGTGTCCGTAAGTATCTAAGTGTCTCCATGTATGAGTGTGTAGATAAGTGCATGTGCGTGTGTCGAGGTGTGAGACTGTGTATATAAGTGTATGAGTGGATATGAGTGTGTATGAGTGTGTGAGCGTGTGTGACAATATGTATATGAATGTGTGTGCATGAGACTGTATTTGAATGTGTGTGTGTAAGTGTGTGGGGGGTGTGAGATGTATGTGACCGTGTCTATGAATATGTATATGAATGTTTTTGTGTTTTGTGTGTGTGGGTGTATGAGAATGTGTATATGAACGTGTGAGTGTGTGGGTGTGTAAAATTGTATATGAATGTGTATGAATGTGTCTGTGAATGTAAGTGTGTATATATGAATGTAGGTTGGTGTATATGACTGTGGGTGTGTGAAGATGTATGTGAATGTGTGTGTGTACAAGTGGGTGTGGGAATGTGTATATGAATGTGTGTGAGTGTGTGAAGATGTATATGAATGTGAGTGTGTATGAGTGTGTGTGTGAAGATGTATATGAATGTGTGTGTGTGGGGGTGTGTGTGAAGATGTATATGAAGAGTGTGTGTGTGAATGTATATAAGTGTGGGTGTGTGTAAATGTGTATATGGGTGTGTGTGTAAATGTGTATATGGATATGTGTGTGTGTGAAGATGAATGTGTGTGTGTACGTGTGTGGGTGTGTGTGAAGATGTATATGGATGTGTGTGAATGTATATAAGTGTGGGTGTGTGTAAATGTGTATATGGATATGTGTGTGTGTGTGTATGTGTGTGGGTATGTGTGAAGGTATATATGGATGTGTGTGAATGTGTATATGAATATATGTGTGTATGTGAGTGTGGGTGTGTGAGAAGATGAATATGACTGATTGTGTGTAAGTGTGTATGAGGCGTGCCCACTCTGCTCCTCCCTTTTCCTCCCGCTCCCCAGCCATTCTGACTGCGCAGTGGGTGCTCTGACCTTTCATTTGGACCAAGGACCACATGACCGGCATTTCTCAGGACAGCCCTCATTCAAACAGTTCCCTCCCCCTGCCCCGACCAATGCTGTTTATTTTTCCAACCCACACAGCCTCATATTCAGGGTGGAAAATGCAGTCGTCCATCTCTGGGATCCTCCTCCTCCCTTTGAGCTCAGGAAGAGTTTTCTCCACCTGACCAGCCAGAGGGGGACTGGAGGCCTGGAGGGGCCATTACAGGTGCCAGGAGAAATGGAGCTTACTTCTGGGGCTCTAGAAGGGAGCTGGGAGCTCGGGGGGTGGGGTTGTGGGGACAGGCTTCTCTGTTCCCAGACCCAGGCCTGGCCTGGATTTTTCTGGAGGGGACAGTGGGAGGGAGCCCTGGCTCAGAGGGAGAACTGGGATTTGGTTATTAAACCAAGTTGCAAGTTCAGTCTGCTTTCCAGCCAACTTTTCTTCCTCCCTCACTTTCTCCTCCAGATAATAGAAATACCCTGGAGGGGTTCCTTTTCTCCCTGGCAAGCTGAGGGAGGCAGGGGGTGGGGGGCCCTGCTATTGGCCACGCCCTGGGCCTGGGCCAACTCCCCACTCCCACAACAAGGGGTGCAATTACATCAGCTGCTCCCTCAGGCTCTGGCCATTGCTGGGGGAGGTCCTTGCCCTACGCCCTGAAAGAGTAAGCTCATACTGAAGGAGGGCTGTCACCCCGATGCTGGCCTCCTGACTTTTGACTTTCTCTGAACCCTTCCAGGCTTTGAAATCATGGCAGCAGCAAGACTCAACTGGGGCAGCATGATGTCTGGATTTGAATCCCGGTTCAGCCATTTTCCAGCTGTGTGATGTGGGGCAAGTCAGGTAGCCTCCCTGGGCCTCAGTTTCCCTATCTGCAACTGGGGATGACAATAGTGCTATCTTCCTAGGTTTGTTCTGGGGAATCACTGAATTAATATTTGTTAGGTATTTGTGCTTTACCTTGCACTATGTAAGTGTTGGTTAAATAAACACATCATTTCCCTAATGATGGCCAGCTAAGGAATAGGTGGATGGGGTGGGTCACTAACCCACTAACCCCTGGCTTCATGCCTCAGCACTTACTCATTCCCTGGCACTGAACTCTTATCATAGACCCAGGAAGTCTCTGACGTTTTGCTCACTTTCTCAGGGTTTAAATTCCACCCCTACTATTTACCCTCTGTGGCATTTTGTCTCCTGAGGCAGGGATGTCACAGCAGAACACAGAGGTCAGCTCAGGAGAAAGTCTCCCATCCGGACTTGTCTCTCCTCCACTTCTGCCACAGCAGCCACCTCCAGGGTGGCCTGAAGGGGGAAGAGGTGCCCCAGGTGGCAGGTCTCTTCCCAGTGCCTTAGGTCTTTGCTGTTCTGGAGAGAGGAAGTGGCAGCTTTGCCTGCTGGGCTAGGGACTGAGGTTTTCGTTTGAGCATGGAAAAGATTCATTCATAGAAACTCACCTGCCTTCCTGAGGCAACGATCCTGATCCACTAACCAGCTGCTCTTGCTGGGACTAGGGGAGTACAGGGGGCTTTGCTCACCTTGAAGGGCTGGTGGAAGGGTTCCTTCCCAGCTTCTCCCTTTTCCCCAGGCTCGGATCCCACCAGGACTGCAACCCTTAGCCCTGTCTGGTCTCCCTTGCCACCCTTGAGGCCACCCTGGAGACTCAGTCATCCATTCACCCCAGGTGGGTCCCACACTGCCTTAGCTGCTTCTTCCTGGCCCCATGGCCCTGTGGTTGCTCTCACGATGGGTCTGGAAACTGAGGTAGCCTTGTCGCTGGGGCCTGGGGCCTGGATTCTCGACGCCCAGAATCCTCCAGCTCTATTCTGCTCTCAAACATGGAGCAAGCACCCACTCCGTGCTCTCCTGTGCCTGGCTCTGATGGAAAGGGCCAGTTGGCCCTGGTCACCAGGGAGCCTCTTGACCAGAGTGCAGTACTCAAAGAAAAGCCAAAGGGCCATGAGATGCCTTCCTCCCCTCCCCTCCCTTCCCCTGCCCTCCCCTCCTCTCTGTTCCCCTCTCCTCCCCTCCCTCCCAGAAATGTTCATTGGGTCCTGCCTTTGTAGCAGGTGTGGGCTGGGCCCTGACCATAGAAGAAGACTTCCTTGCCATGAAGTTCAGAGGGAACCTGGTTGCAGGCCCCAGGCAAGGCTTTCCTTTCTTTGAGTTCTACAGCTCTGCTCACTGAGAGGTTCCAAGCTAGAGGCTGAGTCTCCACCATCAGATGGTGGGCTCCCTGAGGGTAGGGCATGTGCTTTCTGCCGCTCACAGAATCTTCTGCATTCATTGATTCACTGGTTCATTCATTTACAGCACTCAGGGATGCCTCTGTGGGCCAGGCATTGTGCCGGGCCTTTGTGAGCTGATCTGTTTCAGCAGGTGCCACCTAAATTGGTTTCTGATGGATGAGAAGAAGCTAGTTCCGGGAAGAGGGTTCCAGGCAGACAGAACAACTCGTGCAAAGCCAGGAGCCTGAGAGCTATCAGGGTAGGCTGAGGCAGGAAGGGGCTTTGAAGATACAGTGACTCACAGGAAAGCAGGGGCCTGTCTGGGGAGCTGAGGAGAAAGAAGTCCTTGAGAATGATTGAAGATTTTACTTCTGTGGCAGGAGAGAAAACCCAGGAGAGTGTCAAGTATCATTGCCCAAAGGAAGACAGGAATTCAGCATTCTGCGGAATCCCTGACTCATCGCTGGGGGTGGAGGGAGGTGGGAGAAGATTAGGCTGCCTGTGCTTCATTTCCAGCCTTCCAGGAGGATGTCAGCTCCCTCCTCGCAGATTCCTTCCTCCTCTGCCCTCTCAACCTCCCTGCCCTTGCAGGGAATGAATCCCAGGACTCTAGCTGTCATCAAGTTCTCCCTGTTGTCTAATCCTAGTCTCTCCTGCTGCATTCTTGCGTGTCCTTGGAGATTAACCACAATTTGGGGCCTGCAGCCTCTTTTCCCAGAGGTCCTGGCAAAGGCACTCCCTAGCCTTTACCTGTACCCACTACTGTCCTGGGCCACAGAGGCTGGGTCCAGGGCATGGGGGTGGTTCCCAGGAGATAGTTTGATCCTCAAGCCCAAGGCCAAGCCTCCATCTTGATCTCCAGGATTGCTTGAGGTCTTAAATCCCACTGGAGAGGTCTAGAGAAGCCAGGAGAAGCCTAGGCTCTCTGTTCCTGTCTCTTTCTTACCATGACTCTTATTTATCTTTTCCCTGTCTCTCTCTCCATCTCTTTCTCTCTTCTACTCTCTCTCCACAGATCCCACCCCACCCCACCCCCCACCCCTGACATCTTTTTCTGGTTCGGTCTTCCCCTCCCCTCTTCTTGCTCTCCTTTTCTTTCTGTCCCTTGCCCTCCCTCCCTCTAGGACTCAGTCTCCATTCCCAGCCCTAGCCCTCTTTCTTTCTGATGGCCCCTGGCAGTGCTTGGGAATGAGAATGAGGAGGTGGACTTGTGGAGCTGCAGGTGGCCTGGCAAGTGGCATTGTGCAAGACAGCTCTCTTCCTTGTTAGGGTCGGAGGGGATTTGGAGGGCCGGCCCTAGTCAGCAGCCTGGCTTTCATTCCAGGCCTGTTGGAGGAATTCATAATAAGGGGCCTGGCACTGAAGCCCTGGGTGGCTTTAATTTTCTAGAAGAGAGGCAATACAGTTGCTTCCCTAAGGGGGAAACCCCATGTACCCAGCTGAGGGAAAAGTGAAGAGCATGGAGTAGTTAGGCTTTAAGCCTCCCCTGCAGAGCATCCACCTCCAGACTGTTGGTGGGACTGAAGGCGATATTTTGTCATGGAGAGGGGACTTGTTGAGAGGCAAGAAACAAAGGAGGAAGGAGACCAGACCCTTCTCTGGCCAGTCAGTATCTTACCTGGGTACCTGAGCTAGACTGGGTATGCCTGGCCGCTTTATGGGCATCTGAAGGAGTCAGGAGATGAAAACCTCGGAGTATGCAGAGGAAATGAGCTCCTAGAAAAGAGACTAGGACAATGGAAACAGTCATTGGTCCTGGGGTGGCATGATAGGCCTGGAAAGCCAGGAGGAGTGTTTCCTCCAAAAAGCAGGCAATGCCTTTTGGGGAGACAATGAAGCTATATTGGCTGTATTCTGGGGGCTCCTGGGAGTGAGTGGCAGAGATGCTGTCCCCGGAGGTCAATAGGCCTGGGGCTCAAGTAGTCTGCTTACACCAGGGATGGACAGATGTCAGAGGGCCCTGCAGTCTACACAGTTGTGTGGAGCACCATGCAGAAGCCAAGGGTCTGCTCCCCAGCCCTTGAAGCCTGGACCTGGGAACTCAGGACTTCCTCCCTCTTGAAGTGGTGGGTGAGCCCTGAATACCTGAATGTGACACAGGACAGGGGGAGGGAACTGTGAGAAGAGGAGAGAGTTTAGGAACTTTCTTGGTGGCAGGCCCAAAGTGGGTGACCAAGGGTGCTGGGGGCTTGTAGGGCTGAGGGCAGAGCACCCCACTGCCCACCACCAGAGCCCCAGGAACCCCCGGGACAGTGTCCTGCTCTTCCTCTGAGGTCCTTTCCCTCACTGCCTCTGTCTCTCTGTGTCTGTTGTCTACTTCCCCTTTCTTTGTCCCTTTCTTCTTTCTTGTCCTGTTCTCTGGCCTTAACTCTCCCGTCAGGCCCTCCTGTCTTTCTGTGTGTCTGTTGCTCTCTGCCCCCCACATCATGGCTTCTTCATACTGTCTCGTACAAGGAGAACCCCCTCTCTCCATAAACCCACTGGACACTGCATGACCCCTGCCTGTGTGTGTGTGGTAGGGGGGTGCATGCACTGAGCACACGGTGTGGCGGGGTGCGTGTGCCCCAGGCGGGAGTGAAGGGCGTGGGTGAGTGTGGAGGAGCTACTGGTTGAGCCTAGGTGGGGTAGGCTGTGAAGGGTCTGGTTGAAGATGGAGGGAGGGCTGGGGTGAGGGCTTCTGTTGCCCTGGGTGGACCATAGGGTCAGGCTTTCTCAGCAGAGGCAGCCCTAGCTCTGCCCCTGGGATCCAGCTTATTCTAGGAAAATTTCAAGAGCCAGCCCCACCATGGCCAGCACATACAAAACACATCTTTCCACTCCCCAAGTCCTTGCCCCTGTCCCTGCCAGTTCCTGGAGGCAAGCTAGCAGCCTCAATCCTGAGGCCAGGGCTGCTCACCTGGCTCGGTGGGAGTTCCTCGCCTGATGACTCGTCACCTTCTTGAGCAGGGCCAGGAGCATGCCAGGCTTGCTGACCCTCAGAAATGGCACCCAGTGGCCCTTTCTGCCAGCTGTCCCCTCTGCACACCTTTCCCCATTCCAGGAGCTGGCCCAGCTGTTCTGCCCTGCATTCCCATCCCAGCTTTTTCTTTCTCATGAGTCTTTGCAGAGATCAGGTCTCCCATGTGGGAAGATTGCTCTCCCTTTACTCCATAGGTCAGTCATCAGTTCCTGTCTGCAACTCACCTCCTCACTCACCTCCTCTTGGAGGCCTTCTTTAGTTACCTGCTCTTCATCTCAGATAGCCCATTCCTCCTTACTCTGCCACACTGCTGGACCCACAGCAGACACTCTACATGATATCCAAGTTTCCTGGCTGAGTGCCATCCCAGGGAGCTGCCTGGGGCAGGAGGGAGTACTGATCAACACCCACCACCTGTCAGGCACTCCCCATGCATTATTCACTTTGTTCCCACAATAGCACCCCGGTGCTATTATCCCCATTGAACAGATGAGGAAACCGAGGCTCCGAGAGGTCAACTGATTTGCCTGAGGTCACACAGCAAAATCTCGAAGCTGACACTGTCGAAATGATGTGGGGATGGCAGGGGCTTCCAGGGCAGCGGGAAACAAACCACCCAAGGGGGTCAGTATGTCCCAGCTCCAGGGCATGTTAGGATGGAAAGTCCAGATGTTGCTACCAGAGTTTGGAATGGGGGCAGGAGGACAGATGAAATGACCTCTCGAGGGCTTGCCTGGGTTTAGCATACTCTCTGCCCTTTCTGTGAAGACCCCCCAGCACCACTTTCAGAGGGCTCCCCACTTTGCCTCCCCTGAGGGCAAACACTTAATAGCTCCCAGGCCCTGCCCAGTTCTCCCCAGACTTACCTCTTGTTCCCCTCCTCAGGACAGGCTCCAGGATGCCTGGGGAAACCTGGTTCAGGGCAACTCCCTTCTTCCTGCTCCAGTGGACCCCTTACCCTGCTCCCCTCCTTGGATCACTTAGACTAGGATACACCCAGAATTTCTACCATGGCCCTCCTCTGACTTTGCAGTGTCAGAAGAACCTGGACTCAGACTTCCCACCCCTGGTGACCATCCATAGAGCCCATTCCTTCATTTCCCTCCTTTTCCCACCCTGTCTCTGCTCCTCTTTCTCTCTTGCCTTTGATGTACCTACTACATGCAAAACTGTGCTTGTGTCAGACCCATGTCCTGAATCTATGCTAAGTAGATCCATTGACGGCCACCCAAACAAGAACACAAAATAGGGTAAAGGGGTCCAGGCAGTGCATTGTGAGAGCTCCAGGGCAACAGCGAGTGCAGGCAGGTGCCATCTCAGAAGTTTTCCTGGAGAGATAGCATTGAACTGAGCCTTGGAGGATTCTGATAGGCAGGGAAGGGGGCATTTGTGGAAGGCAGGCCTGCAGGCTGCTCCCCAGTGTGGACACGCTGGAGGAGTTTTCCCTCTTGGACTGTGAACTGCTGGGCAGGGCCCATATCCTCCAACACAGTGCTTTTCAAGCTACCTGAAAGAACGACTAGTTTTTAAAAAAAAATCCCAATCTGTCAGCCGGGTGCAGTGGCTCACGCCTGTAATCCCAGCACTTTGGGAGGCTGAGTCAGGCAGATCACTTCAGGCCAGGAGTTCAAGACCAGCCTGGCCAATGTCGTGAAACCCCACCTTTACTGAAAAATACAAAAATTATCTGGATGTTATGGCGCACACCTGTAATCCCAGCTATTCAGGACACTGAGACATGGGAATTGCTTGAACACAGGAGGCGGAGGTTGCAGTGAGCTGAGATTGTGCCACTGCACTCCAGACTGGGCGACAGAGCGAGACTCTGTCTCAAAGAAAATTCCAATTTGTCATAAACTGATAATATTGTATAATGCAAAGGAATGATTAGAAAAACAAAATAAGACAAAGTACAATTTTTTTTTCTTTTTTTTTTTTAGGCAGAGTTTCGCTTTGTTGCCCAGGCTGTAGTGCAGTGGCACAATCTCCACTCACTGCAACCTCTGCCTCCTGAGTTCAAGCAATTCTTGTGCCTCAGCCTCCTAAGTAGCTGAGATTACAGGCACCTGAGACCATGCGTGGCTGATGTTTTGTATTTTAGTAGAGACAAGATTTCACTATGTTGGCCAGACTGGTCTCTAACTCCTGAGCTCAGGCAATCTGCCCGCCTCAGCCTCCCAAAGTGCTAGGATTTCAGGCTTGAGCCACTGTGACCGGCCCAAACTCCAATTTTGTATTGTGGGATTCAAGAGAAAAAATTGCTATAAAGAGTCTGAATGCCTGTGCTTGGTCTCTGCACGGACCTTGTCCCTGGCTGGTCACAACCCTAACAGTAGGTTGTGACCAGCATTTGAAAAACATGAAGTAGAATAGAATAGAAAACAGAGTGCTTTGCGTGTTGTAGGGGGAAGTGTAGTTTTGCAAAACGTTCATTTCGAGTTTCTGCACACCCATGTGTGTTGGCACTGCGTTCGAGGTGGAATGCATTACCGTGGGTGATAGATGGGTGCCCTCCCATGGTGCTGTAGGGGCTGAATTTCCTCTCTGGCTCTGCTGTCCCCATCCCAGCTCCATTGCCCTCTATCTAGAGTCTGTTTCTTCGTCTCCTCCTCTGCCCATCTCTGTCCCTCTCCTGGTTCCATAGCAATGGTCCTGCTCAGTAAACCTTGGCCCTTCCACTTTCCTGATTCTTTTTTCTAGACAGTCTTCCTTCTCCCTTGCCTTTGACAGAAGCTCTCTTCCTCCTGGGTCCTATGTAATCAGGCCCCAACCACTATGCTTAGCCCAGGGCAGCCTGAGACACAGAAGAGGGGGTCCCTGCCCTTGAGAAGGGAGTGGCAGTGCTGGGGAGTCAAAGATGTACTGGGGAGTCAGGGAATGGAATGTATAATGCAAGGAAATATGTGATAGGAACTGAACCAGGAGCCTGGCCAAAGGCCCTTCCTTCCAAGCTGGTGAGGAGAAGACCTGGTGCTCAATGGAGGTCCACAGTTGGCAGACCACATGACCCCATCCAGGGCTCCCACTTGGTTGGTGCCTCCTCTTTTGGGGTTCTGCTGATACCCAGCTCCCACTCTATGGACATACTAACATCAGTTTAATCAATTCTCTATAAATAAACCTCTGGGTTGCTTCCACTGTTTTTGGAATCATGAATAAACAATGCTGTAATGAACATCTCTGTATCTCTCCCTCACCACACCTGAGCTACTGATTCCCAGAGGTACCCTCACTCCAGCTCTTGTTTCTTACATCTTTACACACACACACAATCCAAATTCCTCCTGCTTCTCTCAGCACCCAGCTGGCCTGGTCTCGTGTCATGAGGCTAAACATGAGCTGGAGGTTTGGAAATGTCATCTTCTTCCTCAGGCCATGCACCCTCCTTGCTCACAACTACTCATTTGGTTTCTTCATCCATACTTGCCAAATATCTAGCTGTATCATCAGGGCCCTTTGACTGCAAGTAACAGAAACCCTGATTCAAAATGGTTTTGACAATACAGGAAGTTTTCATTTCCTAAAAAACGTCCCGATCCAGGAAGGGTGCCTGAGTGGACCGATCACATAACCAAGGATCCAGGTTCTGTCTGTTTTTCTGCGCTGCTATCCTCAGCGTGTTGATTTGCTCCTCAGGTGCTATAGCGCCCTTCATGGTTACAAGGTGGCTGCTGAAGGTCCAGACCTCGCATCCAGACATAATATGCCTGGAGGTTGAAGAGGGGCCGTATCTTTCTGAAGGTCTATTTTTCAAATAAGGAGAACTTTTCCCTGGAGTGCCTCTAGCAGTCTTACTCTTGAGTTCTCATCAGTTGACATTAGGCCACATACCCATTCCTTTAGAGAGAATGAGGCTTCGCTGATTGGTTGGTGAGGCACGGGGCCTTACTGTGAAGGAGGCAGAGAGGGTTGGGTTTTAAAGGAGGAAAGGGGTGTGGGGACAGAGGCTGACTAGACAACCAACCACGAGGACCAAAGTGTCCCCGGTGGAGAGGACTCTGCTTCTGTGTCGCTCAAGCAGCTGGGCCTGTGATCCTACTCTGGAGATTTAGTTTGACTCTGATTCAGTTAGAAAATATTTGTTGAGAAGATGGAACTCCTGAGGGAGTTTATTGTAATGCGAGAGAGTGAGAGTGGGGTTAGGGTACAGGACTGGGAGAGAAGGCGGAAGCTGCGAAGCTGCAGACAGGAGGTCTGAGCACTCCAGCCCTTCTCTCTGAGGGAAGGAGTTAGGAGGGACTCAGTGAGTCCCTTTTTGGGCTGGGTTGGACACAGGGGACTGATTGACTGAGGTAACCTTTGAGGTAAGAGGTCTGGGTGGGAGGGCACCTATCCCAGGCCAAGGTCCCCTAACTTTTCTCCTGACCCTCAGGTGGGTCTTGTCCTTGCCCCTGAGCCACAGAAGGACAGGAAGAAGAGAAGGAGGGCTGTGAGTCAAGAGCCTACCTGGGGGCAAAGAAAAACACAGGAAGTGACTCAAGGCCTGTAGGGTGGCCAGGTGGCCAGCAATGCCCCAGGATGGACCCTGAGGGAGTTGGCTGAGGGAAAGGGTCCCCTCCCCAGAGGCTGCCGGTGCATGCCATCCTGGCTATTTCTGCCAACCATGTTTCCCACAAATCCTTCCCCTCCTCACCACAGGAGGCTGGCTGCCCACTCACCCACAAATCCCACTGCCAGCTGTTGTAATTCCTGGCTCTGGTCCACCCCCTGCATCCGGGAGGCTCAGCACCTCTGACCCCAGAGGGTGGGTCAACCCCTTCCCCTGCCTCTGTCCCTGGCCTTCACACCCTGAAGGAAGAGATTCCAGAGCCACTAGAGGGTGGGGGTCTTCTGAGCCAAGCAGTGGTCCCTGTGTGCATGCACAGCAAGGTGGAGGATCTGGGTCCAGGCAGAGTGACAGGATGTGAAGGTAGAGGGAGACCCACGAACCGCTGGATCCCTTCTGTGTGCACTGTCAGAGAGGCCTTTGTCCTGCCCACTGGAAGCCAGGACCCCAGTGAGTATTAAAGTGATATTTTGCCTTCTTTTACCACTGTTTTTATGTATTAAGCTTCCTTAGGGACCTCCAAAGAGAAGTGGATGGGCCAAGGCATGATTAAAACATATTATTTAAAAAATATGTTACATGTAAGGTTAACAATTTGTTTTTTTCACTTATGTTAGACTTCCTTCCATAATAGTATATACATAAAGCTTACTTATCCTTTTTTATTTATTTGTTAAATAGAGACAAGGTCTTGTTATGTTGCCCAGGCTGATCTGAAACTCCTGGTCTCAAGTGGTTGATCCTTCTGCCTTGGCCTCCCAAAGTGCTGGCATTTAAGACATGAGCCACCGTGCCCAGCCCCTTATTCTTTTCAATAGCAGCAGAGTAGTTCACTCTATGGATGTGCTATTATTTACTTAACCACCTCCTTATAAATGAAGCTGTGATTTGTTTCCCTTTTTAAAAATTATAAACAATGCTGCCATGAACACCTTTGTGCATATATCTTTGGGTAGTTGCATAAATGCTTTTGGAGGATAATATCCTAGAAGTTAAACTGCTGGGTCAAAGAATATGAACATTTATTTATTTATTTATTTATTTATTTATTTATTTATTTTTATTTTTTCTGAGATGTAGTCTTGCTCTGTCATCCAGGCTGGAGCGCAGTGGCGTGATCTCAGCTCACTGCAACCTCCGCCTCCTGAGTTCAAGCGATTCTCCTGCTTCAACATTCCGAGTAGCTGTGGTTACAGATGCCCGCCACCATGTCCAGTTAATTTTTGTATTTTTAGTAGAGATGGGTTTCACCATGTTAGACAGGTTGGTCTCAAACTCATGACCTTGTGATCCACCCACCTCGGCCTCTCAAAGTGCTAGTATTACAGACGTGAGCCACTGTGCCTGGCCAGAACATTTAAAATTTAATAGATAATGCCAGGCCGGGCACAGTGGCTCACACCTATAATCCCAGCACTTTGGGAGGCCGAGGGGGGCAGATCACCTGAGGTCAGGAGTTCAAGACCAGCCTGGTCAACATGGTAAACCCCGTCTTTCCTAAAAATAAAAAATTAGCTGGGTGTGGTGGTGGGCGCCTGTAATCCCAGTTACTCTGGAGGCTGAGGCAGGAGAATTGCTTGAACCTGGGAGGCGGAGGTTGCAGTGAGCCGAGATCGTGCCACTGCACTCCAGCCTGGGTGACAAGAGCGAGACTCCGTCTCAAAAAATAAACTAAAATAAAATTTAATAGATAATGCCTAATTGCTGTAGAGAATGTACTAATTTTCATTCCATCAGCATTGTATGAGATTGCCTGTGTTGCCACATCTTCCACAGCACTGTATAGTATTACCTTCTTCATCTTTGTCAATTTGATAAATGAAAAATTAGATCTTGTTTGAATTTGCATTTAAAATGATTAGTGAGATTGAACATTGTATATATTTTCATTAGCCAGTTGTGTTTTTTTGTGAATGACCTGTTTCTTCTTTGTCTATATTTTGCCACTGGATTGTTTAATCTTTTTCTTATTGTTTTAAAAAATGTCTTCTTTTAAATTAGGAAAATTAGCACTTTGTCGTACATCTTGCAGGTACATTTCTCTTATTTTGTCCTTTGCTTTTGTTTATGGAGCTTTTTCCTTTAATGTCTGTGTAGGTACATTTGTTAATCTTCTTTGTTATGACTTCTGTTTTGTTCTATGACTAGGAAAATCACTATCCCAGGTTCACGAAAACATTTACACATATTTTCTTCTGGCACTTTTATGACTATTTTTTAAAATGTTTTTCTTTCTTTAAATCTTTGATGCTGTTGGAGTTTATGTCCGTGTTAGGAGTGATGTAGCGAATCCAGATTTATTTATTTTTGATCCAAATATCTGACTAGTATCTCAATTTACTGAATTGAATTCTCATGTTTATTTGAGCCTATTTAACATTTTTTATTCTTTACAATTGATCTGTATGCAGGCACCAGTCCCATGCTATTTTAATTATTGTAGCTGTATAATATTTTTGAAAAATGTTTTATAGTGCTACTCTTTCCTTGTTAGTTTACTTATTTTTCCCTCCAGGGATGTTCTATTCATTTATATTTATTTTTCCAGAGGAATTTGTATGTAATCATTTTGTCAAATTATCCCCCCAAAACAGCTGATATTTTGTACAGAAGTGTGCTGAATTTATAGTTTAATTATGGTGACATTGACATGCTTACAATATTACTGACTTTTTATCCAAGAAGAAAGTCTTTCTCCATCGATTCAAGTCTATGTGTAAGTCCCTCATTTGGCTTTTACAGCTATTTCCATGTATCTGCACATTTTTTTCTATATGTTTTATGTTAGGTTTTTGTTAACCTTATTAATGGGATGTTTTTCCATATTCTTTCATTAGTTATTTCTTGTATTTAGGAAATCTTGTTTTTAAACTAACCACTTTGATAAATTCCTGATAATTACTAAAAGTTCTTTAGCTGATTCTCTTGGAATATCCAGGTATAGAATAATATCATCCAACGGTAATAACTACTTTCTTTTTATAATATTTGTATCTCTTATTTTATTTTTCATCTAACTGCATTGTTGAGTAATCGCAGAACAATGTTGAATACTAATGGTGATCGTTTATGGGGAGAGCTGATGTCAACTTTAATGGGACTACTTTTAGAGTCTCCCCATTAAACATGTTGGGAAAATTAATCTATTTTACATGTTAATATAGTAGATTATGTTGAGTTTCCCAGAATTTGGCTTTCTTGTACTTCTGGAAAGAATCATACTTAGTCTTGACACATTCTTTTGTCAACACAGTTTTCATCAATACTCCCTTCCTTAGCTCAGAACTTCCTCCGTCGCTCATCTTCCTCCCTGGTAAACTGAGTTTCAGGCAAAGTGAGAACAGCATGGCCAGCCACTGGGAAGCAGAGGCACAAAGTCAGGGCTGGAGGTGTGCGGCGGGGGCATGGCCAGGCAAGAGCTGAGGCTCAGGACGTAACTGTCTGCCTCCTGTCCCAAAGGAATGAGGATCCACAAGAGCCTCCCCAAGGCTGACAGAGGATGTGGAGATAAGCAGGGGGATGAGAAGGCCTGGGGAAGGGAGGAAGGCTGGAGAGGACTGAAGAGCAGGGGGCAGGGGTCCTTGGAAGAAAACCAGGACTCTTCTGCTTGCCACCTGAGGAAACTCTGCACCTCTGTCACCCTCAGGACTATCTTGAGCCCTAGTCTTTTGAGAGAGGCATGATCCAGAACCTTGGGCCTCTCCCAGGCTAGTGGACTCAATGCAGGCACAGGTGGCTACTCCTACACTAGGCAGGGGAGGCTAAAGGAGAGCCCTGAAGGTGGCAGGAGGTCAGGAAGACATCAGCCTGGCGTGGCTACTTCTTAACATTTGCAGCATGCAGCCTTCATGCAGCAGCTTCTGAAAGCAGTGACCACGCCCTCCACCCCAACTCCTCCAGCATCCCTAGGACTGTTCTTTGGTCCTGAACATATGATGTCACCACACCCTCCCTCCATTTCCTGAAGCAGTTCTGAAGTCCTCTGGCCATGACCCTTTCTTAGGAACCTGGCTGACTTCATCATCACTCTTGGGTGAACACTGCTGTGCCCAGGGCTTGTTGGAGAGAGGAGAGGGTTAGAGGGAAGGAGGGGACTTTCCAGTGTGGACAGGGATTGAAGTGGCAGAGGGCACCCATGTGGGTGATGTGCTGAGGTCAGGTAACCAGGAGACAAGAGGACCCTTTAGATGTCCTCCCTGAGCTGCCCTTCCTTTCCTTACAACTGTCAGCTCTAGGAGCACAGGAGAGGAAATTCCTTGACCTAGAACCTTAGCATCTTCCAGGCCCACAAACCTTTAATTAATGCAGTCATTTAAGAGGAAGGAAGGTGGTTTTTGTGGCTGTGTTTGTATTACCTGAGTGAGTATAGACACATTCTCCACTCTTTCATCAGGAGAGAAAATAGAGCATATAGACAGGGGTGGGGGTAAACTGAGTTTCAGGCAAATTGAGAAGAGCATGGCCAGCCATTGACAGGAGGCCAGCATGAGTGAGTGGTGGACACTCTGCTCTGGAGGCAGGGGACTGAATTACCTCTGGATGCTGATGAAGCTGTGAGCATTAAAGGGTTCTTGAATTTTTTCCTGCTACTTTTGGTGAATTCCAGTGGGAAAATTGAAGCCAACCCTATTTCCCAGCCATGGGAGACCGGGAATATAGTGGGAAGGCTGGTCAGCAGGAAGGGTCTCCTGCCATCAGTCTGGGGCTAAGGACAGAAATCCAGCTTCTGGCAAAAGGCAAGAGCAAGGCGGGTCCCAGCTTTGGGGGAGCCAGGACCCTGGGCAGGCACTAAAGGCAGGGACTTGGATAGAAAGGGGCAAGATGGGCCCTGGAGGTTGGATGTGCACACACAATGAGGGCTAGGCCTTCAGAATGAGGTGGGGTACGCGGCAGAATGAGGAACCCTTTGGGCATTTGAGGCACAATCCAGGAGGGCTTTCCCTGGAGTCATCTTGCAAAATTATGGTGGATTCTTGACTTGTGTGGCTTCCTGTGGAAAAGTAGGTGCCACTGGTGGATCCTGTTAAGTGTGCTGGCATGAGTCTTACTCATTTCCAGTCTTCTCAATTTCTGCACCAGGCCCAGGCCTCTGGGGGAAGTTTCTAGTAAACGCGTCCCAGATGTGCTGTATGAGGCTAAGCCAAGAGGGCAAGATGACTAGTTTTTGGAAAAACAATGCAATTTCCCTAAAAAATCCTCTTCTTTGGACAGATACCACCTGGTGTTAGCAGCTTAGGGACACCAACAGCCCCTCCCCTCCCTAGAAAGAGGGATCCTCAGACTTGGAGGGATCCTTTCCAAACTGTGCTAGAAGCAAAGGAGAGATGTGGCAAAAGGGGAAGATGGGAGATACAGCAGAAGGCAAAGTTAGAGAGAATGTTCTCTGCTTTTAAGGGCTCATGCAGTTAGATGGGGTCCACATGGATGACCCAGGAAAATACCCTGATTTT